TTTTTATTTTTTTCAGAACCAGGTATTGAACTCAGGCCCTTGCACTTGCCACGGAAGCGCTTATTCCACTGAGCCATCTCCCCAGCCCCAAGAGCTAAAATATTTTCAACTCTCAAATCCCAATAACTTTCTGAGATAGGCCTTATAGCCATTTTACAGCTGTGGAAAATCAACTTAGAAAAGGCAGGGAACTTACTGAAAACTGCACAATGAGCAAAGTTGGATGACTCGACTCTGACTACAAAACCAACTTTCTTGGCTGTGAGGAGTAAGAGACGGCATCAAGGTTTGAGCAGAAATGTTGGTGCTAATTATACCTAGAGCTCTGGTCTTATCCTAAGATAAGATCTGGTCTTATCCTAAGATAACATCTGGTCTTATCCTGTTTCATTAAAATAAAAAAAAATTCAGTAAGATATAACATTCTCTTACTGACTCTATACTCCTGTTAGGTTAAAACCTACTACTAGTTTGTTATTTTTCTCAGAAATTCTATCCTTTTGTTTTTATAATGTTTGCATAATGCAGCTAAACTTCTTTCACGACCTATCATCTCTATTTTCTCCTCCATGCCACTGCCAAGCATTACTGCAGCACACAGCTGATAAACCAACATCTCTATGAGACATGCAAGAACCTCAGTAGACTGCCAACTCAAGACAATTCCAGATCGTGTCAGAAAACAACCAAAACAAAGTACAAAACAAGAAATATTCCACATCAAAATCTTTGAAACTTTTGAAAACACTGTCATGAACCAGTACAAATGACTACTAAAGGTACTGGATTTTAGAGTCCAGGCTTCTAAGCAAAAGTATTAGGTTTCATCAAACAAAAATATTCTAACAGTTTTGAGCTACAAAACTGGGAATTTCTTATGGTTTGAGCTACTGTACTTTACAAGGAGGTAAAAGACCCGCGGAGGTTAAAATGGAATTGTGGATCCAACTAAAAGTTCTAAAATCCTAAATTTATGGTCAAGCGTGGGAAGTACAACAAAACATTCTAATTACAGATGTTGAGAAGAAAAGTTGGTCTGTTAAGTTACAAGGTATCTAAAAGGTGCAGGGACCGGGCGCCCAAGTGCCCTGCCCCGGGGGCGCGCTGAGATGGGCGACTGTGGCTGGGTGTGGTGGCGCACGCCTGCAGTCCCAGAGCTTGGGAGGGTGAAAGCAGGAGGATCACTACGAGTCCGATTTATGTAGTGAGACCCTCTGTAGTAAATACATTTAAAAAAAAAAAAATGTTTACAGAAAAAGGTTTCCAACGCGTATTTTACGCGGCTAAAAGGCGAACACAAACTCCGTCCAATTCAAAGCTGCGTCTCCCCACCTTCCCGGTGGAAGAAGCCGCGACCGCGCGTCCGCCTTCTCCGCAGCTGCGGGGTGCAGCCCGCGGCCCCTCGGCGCCTCCTTCTCACGGTGCGCGCGGTCCTTGGCGGTCGCCCCAGAACGGCGCCTCGCACAGCAAACCTGGCACTAAGTCACGCGCCCCCGCGGCCGGGGGGCGCCTCGGACACGCCGGGGACGCCGCCACCGCGTCGCGCGCCTGCACCCCGCGAGAGACCCGGCCGCTTTCTCACGCCGCCGGGCCTCAGCTCCCCGAGGAACCAGGGTGCCGGCGCCCGAGCCCTCCGGGACACCAGAGCGCGTGCCCCGCCGCCCTTCCAGCCGCGCGCCGCCTCCCCTCACCTGCGGGGCCGAAAGCCCGGCCCGGCCGAGCGCGCGCCCCCACTGCGTCCTCCCCTCCATCGCCGACGCCAACGGTCGCGCCGTCGCCACTCTCCCCAAAGGAATTTGAAAAGCCCGCCGCCAGCTGCAGACACAGGAGACGCCAACCGCCCGCCAATACCAAGCGCCGGTCACGGCAGAGAACCAGCCAGGGGCCCGGCGCGCACGCGCGGGCAGCCCCCACCGGAAGCCGGCGGAGTCGCGAGCTCGCTGCACGACCCTCGGCGGGGCGGTGCACCTGGGAATTTAAGGTGCGCGCCGAGAGGGGGCGGGGCCGGGACGGGGCCTGAGCTGGAGGGGCGGGGCCTGAGCTGGAGGGGCGGGGCGGAGGGAAGAGCCCGCCCCCAGGCGTCTGCGCGGAGGCCGGCGCCGAGCTGGTTACCTACCTCGCTCCCTGCCTCATTCTCTTCTTGTTACTGTAGTTTTCCCCTCCTTCTTCCCCTTTCCTTCCTCCCCTCCACTGCCCTCTCTTACTCCCCTGCCCCTGTCTTCTCCCCCTTCTCTTCCTTCTCATCCCCCAGTGTCCCTTTCTCTTTTTCTCCCACCAGTATCCACAGTGATCGCACAATAAGGTACTATCAAAGACCTCATTTTTTTCTGCTTCTAAAATTAGTATAAAACACCCTTTTATTATTCAGACCCTTGTGAAGTCCTAAAAAGTCATTGTTCTTTGCTTCTCCTGACTTCCCTTCTTCCCAAAACAGTACAGGAAGCCTCTTTGCCTGTCAAACCATTTTTTTCTCCCAAGAGAAATTTTTACCAGGTCAACCCTCCCACCCTCACCTCCTAAAAAGCCTTGGACATTTTTCCTTCCAGCAATAAAGTGAGCATATTTTTCATTTCCCTGTTGGAGTCTGTTGTCTCAGTGTCCCACCTTTTGTACTTGTCTTAAATTCTATGGCCATCATATGCACAAACCTCTTTTTATAGCAGTTGGTTTGAAAACATACTTAAGAATGTGAATGCCTTTCTCCTCAAATGGATAACTTGCTTCCTCAAGATCCCTTGTACTGGATGATTCTACAAGCCTGCCCAGTTTAGAAATGGCTCTCCTCTTATATTAGGAGTGTGTGGGTCATTCTTTTTGTGTGGGGGGGAGGGCAGCTCAGCCCACCAGGGGGCGGGGCTGGCTGGCATGTGATGCTGGGGGATTGAACCGCGGTCCCTGTGCTTTGCTAAGCTTGTTCTAAGTAGGTGCTTTAGACCACTGAACCATCTCACCAGCCCCCCCCCTTTTTTTTTGGTGTGGGTCATTCTTAATGACCCTTATCTTTACACACAACTCTGAAGTATGTGGATCTCAAAATTACCACCACAGAGCTCATCTCTCTCAACACAGATCTAAATTCCATTGTCGTTCATCCCTCCTTCCCCTAGTGCAAACCTCTCTCTTATGCTGCCACTTTTCTGTAATTATCCTCTATTCCATGTGAGCTGCATGAACATATTGCCTGACTCATAAAAGAAATACACACAGAGAGATCAGTATTGGACATACAGTATTTATCATACAACATACATAGCTCTCAGACTCAAATCCAAACACATAGAGAAGACAGTACTTCATAAAAATCCAGAAGGCAAGCCAACTAATCTGAAATCAGACATGTAGAAATATTTGATGGCTGAACCTTAGGCACATAGCTGCAGATGCATCTATAGTGCTCCAGGAGGCAGTCAATACGAAATTGCTATGCTTAGTAATGACCTGTACAGTAGAGTAGATGCAAAACACCTTTCTCTGTAGAGAAGAGATGATGTGGGCCTATCTGTTATTCATCAAGGGATGTGCCCAGGAAGTGCTTAAGTGTTTAACTATTACCTTATGATTAGAATACTCTGAGCAGGACTTCTGTGTGCTCAGCTGTCCTCAGGGCCTTCCTTCTTCCTGCTAGGTGCCTCACACACAGATCTCTTTGGTGTTTATGATGTAGAGGAAGATAGAGTCACCCATGGAAACTCTAGAAGATGAAAAAATTTACATACAGCAATTCCTGAGCTTAAGAATTTGTTTACCTGTTAGTAATTTATGTCTCGTGTAACTCTACCTCTCAAAACTTCAAATGTTTGAGAATAAATTTGGGTGGCTCCTAACCCGCCTGCCCTGTGTCTCCAAGAAAGTGAATGCTCTCCCCATGTCCAGCGCTGAGCTTCCAGTGGACACTGAATGATAGAATCAGCAGCAATATTATAACCCACGACAAGGGCAGTGTTTATGCTAACTACAGTGACAGTTGTACAGCATATGTCAAGCAGATGGTATTTTATTATTAAATAGAAAGTATTTGATAAAAGCAACCAATTTAGATAATAATAATAATAAGTGCTAAAAAATACATTTTCTGCTCTTCATTCCTGACATACCTCTTCTTCACTCTGAGATTAATGGAGAAGAAAACACCACACTTGCACTCAGCTCCCCATTATGTAACAGACTCGTTAGGTTTCAAAATGTCATTTCCTGCACAACAGTCCCTCATGATTGCCAATATTCTCCCAAACTTAGTCCTATTAAAAATTCTCTTGCTTCTTTTACTCATTCATTCAATTTGCAGATACTGGATTTTGAATGCACTTTATAAACTAGAGCTATATTTTGACTTATATACAGAAGAGAGAAGAAAAGGAGAAAGAAGGAGGAGGAGAGGAAAGAGGAAGAAAAGGAGAGGAAGGAAGAGGAAAACTAAAATGCAGCCTTTTCTTAAATGAAGAGGCCATAATCTACAGATGGCTGAGGCCTCACATAATCATAAGAGGGACGCAGATGGCAGAGTGTAAGGACTTATTAGCCTACAACCTGGGGCAGGCCACTCACTTTCCTTATCTATAAAACAAGAATAATAACACCCATCATTTCTTTTAAAAGTAGTCAAGAGACTCTGAGGAGATAAGATTTGCGTGAGAGCCTTGCAAGCTGGTCAGCCCATGAAAGCAGGAGCCATTAGCAGGAGGGGACGCCATGTCAGCAGGGACAGACCCCTGTACTCGCCCCACAGGATGCTGAGGGCTGCATGAGAAAAACTTATGTGCATCAGTTACATTCAGGGTACATCACCTGCCGTCGACAGATTATATCAAGAGTATACACTTAAAAAGCTCCTGCATGAAGGGCCAAAATAGATGATAGATATTAGGAAGTAAGAAGAAAGTGTTCAAGGGGACCAAGAAAGGGGAGAAGAGAAAGAGAAAGAAAAAGAGAATAGAAGGAAAAGAGTACAAATAAAGCTTTTGTAAATTGGGAGGGGAAAGAGGGTTAAACAGAAGGGAGGAGAATGGGGGAAAAGAGATGGTGTTCATGTGAGAATTGGGCAAAGATCTGGATAGAGTAGCACATTCATTAAGGCATTGAGCCTCTCTGCACATTCATTTTGGAACTAATATTCTAGCATATATTACAGTGGTCCTTCTCAGTTACATAGGTCAGTTCTCACAAAGCCCAGTAGTAAACTGCTTGTCATTAGACAACTCAAGATCTTCTGCCAAATCATGCTGGAGGATAGAAGTAGAAAATAGACCTGAAAACTATACTAGTAACACTATATTAGTTTTATGTTTCCTAAAATAAGTGATACCACACACTAAACTAAAACATTATCAATAGTATTTTACACATACTAAATGAGTACTATTAGTTCTCACTCTTGTTTTTCAATACGTCTGTCTCACAAACTGCCTGTTTTTGTTTAGAAGCTGCCAACTTTCCTACCCTGAACATCTACGTTCAGGCTGACTGCTCTCTTGGTTTTCATCAAGAGATATATTATGGATAGGTACAAATTTCTGATGATGAGTGTAATCATTATATATACCAAAAATGTATTGTATTGGGCCAAGGATGTAGCTCAGGGGCATAAGCACCTACCTGGCAAGTGCAAGGTCCCAAGTTCAATCCTTGGTACCACAGAAAACAAAAACCAAAAATGTACTGTCTTGGTTACTTTTCTCTCTTGCTGGGACAAATACCCAACACCCAGAATGAAGGAAGGAAAGGCTTATTTAGCCCACAGTTAGTGGAGGTTTCAGTCTATACTCAACTGGCCCCAAAGGAGAGGGGTACTTGGCAGAGGGCAGCAGTTCATGGCAGCAGAAAACAGCAAAACAGCAAGAGTCAATAGGAGGACAAGCAACAACAACGGCTACAGAGAGCAAGTCTGTCTCCTTTATGTTGCATTCAGGCTACCTGCCCCAGGTTGGGTGTAGCACTCACACCCATAAATACCAGCAGAATTTATAGATGCAATCCCAGAAGAATTTACTTTCATAATCCCAGCAGCACTTGCGCCCATAATTCTACAACTGGATCATGAATTAATCACAAAGTCTAGAAGTCCACCCCATGACTGCATGAGGCTTTGCGTGGACAACTAGACAAAAACCATAACATGTACCAATAAAATTAATTTTAAAAATAAAAATAAAAAGCTCCTAAAAATCAGTTTTCCAGTTGGAAAATGGCTGAATGCAATGGTGAGCGTATTATTTGTGAAGTGACAAAGCATGAAAGATTTCTCGATCTTACTATTAGTCTGCAAATTATAGATTAAATCCTTAAAGAAATAATAGTGACTGGAGAGGGCCAGCCAAATCACTCAGTGGATTAAAGTGCCTGCAAGCAGGCACAGGGGCCAGGGGTTCGACCCCCAGGCCTGCTGTGCCAGGCCCCAACCCCAGGGCACAATGGGATGGTGATTGACATTGGGCGTGGTGGCACACACCTGTAATCCCAGCACTTAGGAGGCTGTAAACAGGATAATCACAAGTCTGATCTAGTAGTGAGACCGTGAACATGCTGTAGACCCTTCCCTAAAATACAGGAAAAAAAAGATAGATAGATAGATAGATAGATAGATAGATAGATAGATAGATAGATGATAGATGATAGATGGATAGATAGATAGATAGGTAGATGATAGATGGATAGATAGATAGATAGATAGATAGATAGATAGATAGATAGATAGATAGATACTAGATTGATCAATGTTAAGGAATCAGATAATGCCAGAGTTAATGAAGATGAAAGTCTGGAGGACATGATACTGTGGTGCAGGAGATGGAAATGTGTTCAGTCACTTTGGAAGGAGATTTACAAACACCTTTTTCATATATTGTTTAGAAAATTCTTGCAGAACTATACAGGCAGCATTGCTTACTTTATATCTTTATTTGTTTTTGTGATTCTGGGATTCGAACCTAGAACCCTGAGCATGCCAGACC